ATGGATAGAATAAAAAAAACTAATCATTTTTGCTTTAACTTTAGAGCAGACACATTGTAGTTTAGTTGCAAAATTGTTCCGTGAATAGATGTTGTTTAAAAGTCACTGTTACACAAGTTTTTACACATATTGCTATATTTTTTTATTATCAAAACGTTTTTGAGATTGCATAGTGTGAAAAAAATAAAAAATCGGCCGTTTTTGTTTTATACTTTATTGCGTTAATTCCTTGATATTGCATCACATATCTTGGGCACTCCTGGTTGAGTTTGATCTATTTTAAGATACTGTTAAAAACAACCGCATGTTGCATTTAAATTACTCTTTAAACGTTTTAAATAATATGGAGATTATAATACTACTCACGGCACGGCTGCACGAACAATTGCTTAGACTTCCAGACTAACTGAATTGCAAACCTTGAATTTTATTTATAGTCTAAGCACTTAAATGTAATATCTGTATTTTAAAAAAAGTCAACTCAACCTCTAATCTCTAACCGAGTACAATGCACACGGGTCTAGAACATGTAGGAATTTCATCTTTATAAAGCTTGTTTTAAAAATCTAGGATAGATAATAATATAAAAAAATGTGCATTGCAAATATTGTGCTATATAGCATTTTTTATTTTTATTTTTACAGTTGCATTATGATCGTATAGCGTAATCCTAAGGATTTTTTAAGTTATACTTACAGAAGTGAATGTTATTTCATGAATTTAAAAAAAATATGAAGTGGGGTGGCGTTATACAACGTTATAACAAATCTCACTTTAAATGAAAAACGAAACGCAGAAGTATAACACTTTCCACTTCACGCCGGTCTTCGGTGAGGTCGTGGTACTTACCCGGACGGACCTACCGGACGGACTACTAAGACTGTAGCCTGGCCCTACTACCAAGGATCACATGTTAACTAAGTAACTACATGGCGTTGACTTCATATTTATTGTTATTTAGTAAAACCAAAGAAGTACCTATAAGTACACGCACAACTTTTTTCTTCTTTTTAATTAATTAATACGTATATATAACCATAAGTTGCGATAAAAGTGGATGAGTTTGACAGTAGCCATGACCGTTGTAGACTGAAAATGTGCGTGATTTAATATCCAATACTTTAGGTACTCGATATATCTTGATAGGGCAAGTCAGATAAAACTTAAGTTTTTTTTTATGTGAGAAGGTGGCAGGCGTGGTTCACCTGATGAAGTAGACAGAAAGTAATAAAAATAATGAAGTGAATAATACAGTCTATTAAGTAGTAAAATGTAATAAATGAAAGGCGAAATTATTATAAAAACATTTTATTAGCAAACTTAAGTAGGAAAGTAAAAATATAAGAAATTCAATACAAAACTGTAAACGATGTAAACATTATGGTAGCTAAATTCATTACATGATACAAAACTTACTATAAGTATCTGATACTGATAAATGTGACCAGATTAAATCTGACAGGCGTCTAACATACTGTCCACGTGATACTATTGCGTAACTAAATAGTGTTAATGATACTGAAGTATTAAGGATATTTTAATGAAAAAAATCTTACACTATTATTGATAATACGGTCAAATTAATATGATCATTATTTTTAGTAAATCTTTGATTCGTGAAATGAATTTAATATCATTAAAAAGTAAATCTAAGTGAGCACCCATTTTTAAATGAAATATTATGTGCAATTTATTTCAGTAATGATTTCAAAAGTAAATAAACTTTCTTTTACACATTTTACTCCTAAGATAAACTTTTTCACTTTTTCTTAAATCGTTTTTCTTTATTTTGTATTTTCTTTAATTATTTTTTTTATTTAAAAATATCGGCAAAGTATCACGTGAAACAAAAATATTTGGAAGACCTTAATGTTCCGGGACCAGTGCCAACTTACGTAATACCTGTACGGTTTATAGTTTACAATTCGATGCTTTCAATGACACTGCGTCTATAGATAAACGTAAGCAAAATCACAGCTCGGGTTAATCAAAGTATAATTAATTACCTTTTTGTTTTCTTCGTTCGACTTAACTAAAACGCTATAAATAAATAATGAAAGTATTGTACAGGATGGTCGTAGTTTAAGGATGAGGTGGATAATTTGATAAAAAAATTCAGCCATTCACATATTGAGCAACTTTCGAAACTCCAAAATAAATAGCAAAATACATATATACAATATTTCTTGCACACCGCAAAATCCTAATGAATTGATTGTTATCCACATCGTCCTTAATACTACTATACAGGATCTTCGCAAACGTTAAATTAATTATTGTTGAATTACTCATATACTTCTTATCAACAAAGCATTACAATCAATAAAATCTAATAATCAACTCAGGAACAAATGCAATAATAATCAATCATTATTAATAAAATCATTTTTGAAATAAGTTCTCAAAAACCAACATAACTTAATATATTACAAGAATATATTAACAACCATTTATGCGAATGCATATTATATTAAGGTAGCCATAGTTTCTTAAACCTAATTGGTAAATCTCTCAAAAAGTTCTTATCTCTTATAAAATCTATAAATTCGCTAACTTTTCAAAATACCATCTAATGAGATACAAGTGGTAGAGTATAAATTTACGTTACAAAATTAGTTTTTCTTAAATCTCTCAGTTATACATATTTACAAATAATGAGTATTGTTAAAGGAATTGTCTAAAATTTATCAATATATGTAGTTAACTCAGTAAAGATATCTTAAACCTTTTCAATGTTGTTTGAAGAACTGCATGTTCGCATTAAGGTGTCACAAGACAAATTGTTGATAGATTTTTTTGATGTTAGTATTCACAAAAATAATAATAGGATTTTGATTTCATTTTTTTTTCTGGAAATAACTTACAACCGTACACTTATCGAAATCTTAAGATTTATTAAATAATAACAAAGTCTCAATCTTTAAAAACCTATTTCCTTGCTTTACGCAACAAGTAATTTCATTAAGTAACTGAACTTTCATTAGCCTGGACAATAGTATTGCTACAAGAAAGCTAAAGTACTTTGCATATAAAATGCAGTCTCTTGATCAGCCTGAAACATTATAGGCAGTGTTTGATAGTCTTTAATACTAGCAGTTTATGATAATAAAGGAAGATTGGCAAGATATAAACGTAGACTTAGTTAGTAGCAAGGATTAAAAGATACAAGTGATTGTTGTTATTAAAAGAGTTTACCAAAACTCTATTTAACGCATTTAATAGCCGTCCTGTTTCCTAATTTAACCCGCAGATGCAACCCTTGTTGTGGTTTACAAAATAATCTAAAAAATTGGAATATAAAATTAACCAACACGATTGATGGACAGATTTTATGTAAGTTACATCGGTTATACCTACGTTTTTTATAGTCAAATGAACATTGTTTTTAAAAACTCTGAATAAATTAGCTCACTAAACTATTTATAGGTGCGTCAATTAATGAATTTTTAATTATTATTTCAAAAGTATCATAATGAGGACATCCGTTATTGCTGAGTCAACAAATTAATTGATTTCTTACATCCGTCATTAAAAAGGATTGCTTGATTTACGCAAAGGAAAGAAATTAAACTTACAGTTTCGTAACGACCGACTGATATATTGATAATATATGTATATCTTATTCAGCCATTAAGTACTTTGTTTTATTATATGCGTGGGCTATTTTCATTTTTAACACTCAGATCAGGAGCAATGTATGACTCATTTAAAGAATATGGTAAAGAGTTAACATGAAAGTCTTGTTGTTTGTAAATACTGAAAATAAGTGAAAGTTTTATTTTTAAAATCAAATGAAAACACTTTCCGCACACCAAAAAAGGGATGAAAGCAATGTAGACTGTAAATTACATTTTATGTGATTAATACTACTTCAAAATAATTATTTTTACGTTTTATCTCTTCAATCAATGAAGCAGTTTACCAACGGGTTTTAGATATAGTACATCGGGTGAAATTTAATAACGGACTTTCCTGGATAAAACAAAGAAAGGCCAGTTCGTTACATGAGAAAGGGAGTACAATTTTAAACGTCAATGTTATGATACCACTTCTATTTCAAATTTATAGCAATCTGAAAGCAATCACGTCTCACCTATAAGGTGAAAGATGTAATACTAGAGGCATGGTGCCCTTCACTATAGACTCCTATCTAAAGCCAATCCCAAAACAAGTCCGTAATTTTTTGATATCGTCGATTAAACTCATATAAGATAATAAAATTAGCTTTAAAAATGAGCTGAAATTTACCTACACTTACATGGTGTATACAAGAAAAAAGAAATAACGGTGTAGATTGAACGGAAAGGAACGTTATTTATAGATACTATAGTCGAGCGGTGAAAGATGGTGGTATTGAATGCTGTTTCTTTTGCTCTGTTCTTTTTTATAATTTTTTTAGAAAGTTTAGTTTGGTGCTCTGCGGGAGAAATTACGGCGGTGGCTATTTGTAGATAATCCTAAAGATATACATTATTATTGGCAGCTATTCGTACAGATTTTTAATCTTATAATATCAGAAAGAGTTTTTTGAGAAATGAGTCGTAGTATAATTAGACCATTAAATTAATTTCTGAGTATTGTCACTTGATTAAAATATGTATACGACTTGTTTGAGCAGATACACGAACTTAGAAATATGTTACTCAATACACCTTTATGCGTAGGTAATAAGTACGAGAAAGAGATTGAAAGTGAATCTCATGATAAATTCTTAACGGTACTTAGCTAAAACTAGCTAAAGCTAAAAGTATTCGGTAACGGACGGAATTACGTACAAATTAACAATTATTATGTATTACGGTTTTGAACATTTGAATAATGTTTCACCATTCACAACTGCCTTATTTCTCTATAACTACTACTTTATTTAGCACCTTCCCAAATTTTCATGCGATGTGTCAGCCTTTACGTATTCACGTGGAACACACACTTTCATTGCAACAAAGTTTCTTTGACTACCTTTGCAAACTAACGAAAGTTTAATGAAGGCGGTACGGTTATCTTTGCTTACTAGGTTTCGCTGTGCCATTAGCAGCGGCACTCTTCTGGGCAATGTGGGTTTGATAATGTTTTGCTAGGTGCGCTTTTTGTCGAAAGCTCTTACCGCAAAGTGAGCATGAGAAAGGCTTTTCGCCGGTATGTGTTCTGACGTGTACATTAACAGAGTATTTATCCTTGAATCCTTTAGAACAAATAGAACAATAATGAAGAGATCTTTCTTTTCTAACGCCATTTGAAGTTGATGTAGCTGCTTGAATAGCAGTTCCTGACTGCGACTGTGTCGTTGGCGGTGAGTTTTTGTTCTGAATCCTTTTATATTTTTTGCTCACAGATTTCGTGCTAGTCACTGTGGGCGACGTCGTGACAATTTGTAAGTGTTGAGGAAGTTGCACTTCACTCGCAGGTATCATGGTTACTAATTCACCATTTACATGATGTATATTGTAAACACTTCGTGTCGGGTCAATGGATTCAACAGTACAAAATGGTTGCACTGATTCGCCTAACTCCGTTGCTATTCTTTTCAATTTTTCATAATCATCTGGATAATTGGCATCCAATTGTGAAAGCAAGATATCATCCACACTTTGCGTTGATGTTGGATTGTCACTATTCGCTATGACAGTTGCACTTGGATCCTCTAATAATATTGATATGTTGACGTTCCCACTTTGCGGTGCGATAGCCATTAAAAGTTCTGTTTCACTGTCTTTATTATCTTGGTACATTGATGGGACGTCAGCTTTATTATTATTATTTATTACCCTTTTCAGTTCTGACTCCGCATCAAGCTTTGCTGTATTGCTCTTTTGTATTGTACTGTATCTGATAAAAGCTTTTCCTTGAAGGGCACTTCTTAATAATGATTCATTCGATTCTGTATTTTGGTCTGTTAGTTTCCAATCATTATTATTATTATTAAATTCAGGTTGACTATCTAATATGTTCGGAGCCCCAATGATGGAACTACAGGAATCATCTTTCTTATCATTACTTTGAAAGTCATTGTCGTCATAATTATATGGTTCAATTTTAACCAAACTACTTGAACTCATATCGACACTTTGATTTTCCGATTCACCGTCTTCGTAGCTGAAGTTTTCAACTTTTGGGAGTATGTTAGTAGTTAAAGAATCTTGGCTAAAATCATTTGGAAAACCGTTCATATTAAGTATAGATTCTAGGTCTAATGAGGATTGTTGCTCTATGTCAGTGGGGCTTGACATGGAGACATCTTCTTCTTTTCCCCAATAGCGATTAGGGTTCGGTTCTCCCATATCTTGATTTAGAACAGTAAGAGTATAAATTTGACCGTCAGTGTTGTTACTTATAAGTTTGTTGGAAATGGCAGTATCGGTAATAGGATGTGCGCCGTTTATTTCACTATCTTGATTCCAATAAAATTTGTTAAGATCCTCCAACATCGCCGTTTCTAAGCGATCACGATCACGATCTATGTTCCAAATTGAGTCAAAACTTTGTAAAGTATTCGAAGTTGTGGCTGCGGACATGCTGTTACTTACAGTAGCTTGTCCTCCTGCTACACTCAGTAAGTTATTATTATTTTGTTCCTTGGGTTCTTCTGACAACAAGGGATTCGACCTCGAATCTGGGGATTCCATGAAAACGTTAACAGAACGCATTTGTTGTTTATACTGAGCATCAGTTACTTCGTTTGAAGTCACAAAATCAAAGAAATCTGACTTAGACAGTTCTGGTGCAGTGGCCGTCATGACTACCGTTTAAAAGTTGAAACCGAGACCAAAAGCTCGGATGTTCTTTTAATATCAGCTTACTTGCTGGATTTATTTTAAGGTTTGTACTAAAATAAATAAATCTAAATTTAAATAATTGAATAATGTATAACCCGATTATGACTTGTACTTTATTGGCAGTCGCTAGAGCGTCGGTAACTGATAGTGCGTAAGTGGAGGCGTGGGTTGGGGTGCTAGTCAAACCTACCCAACTTGTTTAAATCAATAGGCGGACCAATGGAATGTGCAAACTTGATCCGAACGTGTCTTTTTCCCATTATTCACCCCAACTCCGAGAACTGCGTGGCAAGAACTCAGTACGCTAAACACTCAGCAGCGATGAAGATGTACTTGATATATGCCATGATCTTAATGACAAGTCGCTCGAGACTGGATGGATGGATCTGAAAAAGAGAAAATCGACTATTAAATTTCGGATGAGAATATTATATATTATATATATTATCTTATAAATGTCTAATTTATTGACGTAAAAGACAACCGGCATGGTATCCGAATATTTAATTACTAAGTCACTTCGTGTTTAGATCCTGTACTAAATCAGGGCAAACTAGTCACGCATTGTGCAAACGAACATCACGTTATATTTATATTTAGGCTTAAATAATTGAATTCCTTGTTATCTTTTTGTTATTATACAATTAAAAAATAAAAATACTTTAGCAGATTCTTAGGGTGCTTTAACTTATTAAAGATTGCAATCGGCAAACTGTAGAAAGTTGTTCGTGATATCGGAAAATTATTTTCATGCATTGTTAGCTTAATAAATACTTTTGCTATTAAGTTATTCCGGCTTACGCTGTATTTATATGTATATGTATGCGGTGTCTTAATTACAAGTTAGCTAGAACTCAATTATTTTGTATCCGAAGTCGAGTCTATGTAAGCATAAGTTTGTCGAGTAATTAATTGTATAAGTTTCTTTATAAGTATGTTATTTTAATATATCGTTCTTCCATGACCGATTCAGTCCACGTAAAATGAGAAAGGTCTGTCAAATGACACGACGAATTGGAGCAAAATCGCGGGACCGAAACACCCAGTATAATGTTTCATCTGTCAGCTGATACAATGATTACTTGTTGAAATTTGACGAAATATTGTTCATATAGATATATAACGTTAATGTACATAAATGTTGATACCGAGTCGCCTCAGCATTAATATAAAGTCTAGAATTATATAAATCCTGAGTTTATTTTAAAAGGTTTGTTCATAACAAGAACAACACTTTTTAATAAAAAAATCTTTGATTTTGTATTTGAAATAGACTCATTATAACTGTTAAATTAAAAACCGTTCTATATTTAAAATGAAACTCCTGCTTCCACAAAAGATTACATAACATAGTAAAAGTAAGATATTTGTCAATAATTATCAATCTTAGTTAAACACCTTACTTAGCTTACGTCATAAATTTCATAATTTATTTGCTTATATATATTTCATTCATAATATGGTCATAATTTATTCTATCTGCTGGTATAATTTAACAAGCAGTTGTAATAGTACTAACATCGATAAAATTCAAAGTTTAATTAAGGTTTAATGTCTTTGCTGCTATTATATTTTGTTTTTAAGTGTAATTCTACTACTGAGATAAATTAAATACACTAATTTAAACCATCGATTCGATTTTATATGGGTAAGCTTGGTTACTTACCAGTGATATGAAGGAATTTGGTCGTTTTTAAAATGATTTAAGATTATATCGTAGGGTTCATAATTTGGCATGGACGTTCGGCTGTTGGTTAGTTTTTTCTTATGTATTCAAAAGCAATTTTAAAAGGAGCAGATGGTTGTGAGATTGTTTATATCATCATACTAAATGGTCTGGAGTTGTTTGAAATAAAGTACTATAAAATATATTGCACGCCATTATCACACAACTTGTTATAGTCGTGTTTGGTTTAAGTTTGTAATTATTTGTATGCATAACATTAGAAATAATTAGCTGGTATTGTTATTATTACTATTAAATGTTTATAAAATATATACTATTTCAAGAAGCAATATATTGAATACTGCAAAAGAATTTGTTGAATTTCTTTTGAGACAAAGATGTAAATTAGTCTCAATTTCCCTGCAATTCGCTCTATCTGGTAACGAAGGATATTTTTGTCGCGGTATTGTTGTACTCATGTTTCGGTATCAAACTAAATTACAATTTATAAAAATTCGTAACACAACATACAACTAGCCTTGCGAACATCGTTTCGGTTTTATTTTTCGCTACGTGCAAATAAGCGAGGATGTGAGTTTGATGAGTTCGGCAAGGCGAGTGGTGGTGGCGCATGTGGGTTAACGAGCGAGTTGCGCCACGTCCCGCTGCTTCTGCGCAGCGGCGCACGCCCGCCGACCGTTCGATACAATGCATAGCTATCCGATCACGAAGCCACGCATTCTTCGCTCTGCGTCACGACTCCGAGTTTTATTCAAGGCATTTGCTCCTTTATCTTTAGATTGGACACAAGACTTTGTTGTGGTTTCGACGTGAAATTTCATTTATAGCGACGATAACGTAGTAACTTCGTACTTACCTTTCCTAGCTTAAAGTTAAAGATAAATTTGATCGACCAGCATTAGCAGCTTCAGTCCTATTATGGCAATAATTATGCTGGCTACACCGGAAAAGAATTGAGTAGGGCAGTGTCGCAATGCGCGGTATAATACTGCTGTTTGAAGTGCTACATGCTTGCATGAATTTTTCGTATTGACCGATCTATTTTATTGATTAAAAAGTGCTCTGGAAATAACTGACATATTCAAATTTGCAACTGCGATTACAATAATAATTTATCCTAAATATTTTATATGATAAACAAAAAACAGTATGATGTTTGTTTTGTTACGTACAGTGAAAGTTTATAGGACTTTTAAAACAACAATGCAATTTATCTTTAAATATAATCTTATCGCGTCGGGGAAATGAACTTTAGTTATTTTTCAATATAATAGTACAATTAACACCGAAAGCTTGTAAGTTCCGACACGAAGCAAACCTCAGACATTCTATCAGGATTGCGATCTCGATTTAAAATCTACGACAATGCGACGCATTTAATTGGCGGCATTACACAGACAGTCCATAACAGCTTGCCTCGTTCCTTTGCTGGCGCGTTGTCCACAGGTGCACTGTAGCGATTGATAAGTTTTCATTCCTCTTTTCATTTTTGATTGAAGTGAGATCTTTACAGTTTGAGAACCAACAGTTTTCGAGTGTTAAAGTCTAAATGTTTTTAAATTTAACTACCTATTGATAGAATTCATTTTTTTAGTTTGTTTTACATATGCCGATGACTGTCGTCAGGTGTAGAACTGAAACTGGTTGAAATGATGATGTCTTATAAAATGTAAAGGATAAAGACAAGCGGTTTAGTAGTAATTGCCTTTTCCGTGGATGATAGATGTTAGCGGATCGTGAAAATGGAGCGGTAACGCATACCAGAACGTCGGCTCGTCGCGAGCCGGCGCGCTCACCTCTGGCATTTCACTAAAGATGACCGTTTGCTTCGCTCAGCCTTTGATCTCTCTCTTATAAATGCCTGTTGCAATTTTACGTTAAATCATTATTGGCTACATAATAATTTACCATAAAATTGTTTAATGCGAACGTTGGAGAGGTATAAAAGTGAAATTACTCATTCCATTTTATTTGCGTCATCTTATTACTTACTCGTCCGTCTATTCTGTTTCATGTTCCGTTTGGTTGCTTAAATAAAAAAAATCCTGTTTTGTTCGCTTTTGAACAATGATTATTTTAGTTTCAGGTTAAAATTTGTAGAAATATGGACGAGAAGTAGTTTTTGGTTATATATAAATTACACATTATTTTTGCTTCAAAAATTTTACGGGGCATTTACATTTTTAATACTCTTTTTTATTTAAAATAATTTTATTGAATATGAATTATTATTTATTACACTAAAGAAATCATGAGCACAAATATAAAAAAAATATTTAGTATACAGTCTACTATACAGTCGAGTATGCTAAATTGGTTTAATATCGTGACTCGACTATTAGTACAAGGTTAAAGTAAAGATTTATTGCAGGAATACATAAATTCTAAATATAACAAAGGAAACCTATTCATCCTTAAAATATGATTAGAGTATATCTAAACGTCTTGTTATAATTTGATACAGGGACGAGACATAAAACTTACCGTCCATTAAATTATACGAATATTTCATGCAATATTCTCTTCTATTTTATGCGGTTGAGTAAATTAATTTGCTGACCTAGTAAAGACATGCCGCTAGTAGCGAATTGATTATACTGTGCATAGATATAAGTGGATTGCGGTGTGAATTATCGGCAGCTATGGACCGGCGATGCTGGCAAAGATGCACAATCTAGTCGTGACATTAATGGTGCAGATAGCTACGCGCCCGCACCGGCTAGACTACGTTAAATCGTATCTTAAAATATTACCAGATTTATTCCGCAGTACTTGCATGCTCGAGTTTCCCACGCAGATAGCTGGTGGCTTGACGGTGGCGTATATTTAAACGCTAGTCTACATTTAATGTAGGTTACTAAACGTTTCGCTATAAATGTTACTTTGGTACATTCCGAACTACAGCCGTTGTCTCATAATGTCTAAAACTATATACAATGTTACTGGGATAAATGTCTTAACCGTTCGAAAGGATTAAGATTTTTTGTAATATAAATGATGATATAAATGATGATATAAATGATGATATAAATGATGTATATTATCGTAAATATGTTTATATGTTTTAAGGTATAATGGTCCCTAAATATCTATTTAAGTAAAATTACTAAAACATATGTGTGTATATGCAGCTGTACAATATGTTAGCTTATGCAATAATGGACATGGGAAAACATTTGAATAATGAATGATCTTTGTGCATGAGAAGAAACTAGCGGTGCCAGTTATTAAAAATAATTAAAGCTTGTCAGTATACGATTTATTATTTTATACTTGGTGAATAAATTTTCGGCGAATTTTGGTAGGTTAGTAGTATATTTTGATATGTGTGAACACGTTTCTCTCTGCATAAATACAGGTGGCCGTTTTGTTGCTTAGCTTTATAAATGTATCATATGATGCCAAATATGTTTTCATTTAAAAAACCAGCAATTCAAAATAATACTTCGTTGGACATTGACTACAATTCGGTGTTATTTTTTAATTAAGTGCACATATCGTTTCTTCTTGTATCTTGTATTAACTGGTGTTTTTGCTTTCATTCCCGAGACTATTAAAACTTTATCTGACCCA